ATGAAATAAGAAATTTTTATTCTCTATCGCAGATGAAGTTAAGCAAACGGTAACAATCCGTCGACCCCGACGAAGTCGAACTGTTTTCACTAAATTACAAATCGCAGAACTAGAACAACAATTTCAGCGTGCAAAATACTTATCCACAATAAGCTTGGCAGAGTTATCGAATAAGCTAACAATAGGGCAACCTCAGGTGAAAACATGGTTTAAAAATCGAAGACGGCGACATAAACTGCAGTCAAATACAAATATGGGTCCCTCGTCATCTTTATATACTTACAATTTTCCATGTTCACCTTTGTCGTCTATTAGTACGAAAGATACACAAAGTAGCAGTAATAACAACAGAACTGCAAAATCCAATAATCAGTCTTTAAGTGATCATAAAAATAATGGTACTGTGGTTATATCAGTACCAACAGATACCACAAATAGACGAAGAGGAAATAATATAGACTCGTATAATGAGAACTCGTATTCCTATTATAATAACGAAATCATAAACTCTGCTACAACTCCAATAACAATTGCACCTCTAACACATGCGCATGTTTTTCCATCATCTGAAACTGCGACGACACTGAGTGTTGCACAGTTTTGCCCGCCACCACCCTCTGTAAAGGCTCTACAGCAACATCAGCATAGTCATAAACAACAACAGTCAACATATCCCAATCAACATCAAAATGAAAAATATGAGTTTCAGATAAAAGTACAAGATGCAAACAATGTTGGTAGCAGTAGCGGGTATACTGTCACGTCAAAGTTAAGTGTTGATTGTCGTTTCAAGAGTCCACTTAAACCATATTCTTACACAGATGTGGATTTTGCAACATCTACAATGATAACAAACTCCGAACTTTGTGAGTCCTTAAGAATTTTAAATGATGAAAACTCCAGTCTTAGCAACGATAGGAACCATGTAAGTGGCGCAGGTAGCAAGCACATCGTGGTTTCTGACGAAATGAATGAATCTTGTATTCCAACGTTACAGGTGAACCCACATAAGAAATATTTATAATTTTAATTTATTATTAAATAATTTTAAAATGCAGCATTTTTGTTTCGTTTGCTTTAGCTTCTTGCAAACAATGTCGATTTGTGTGACGATGTTCTTTCTTTAGGTAGCAATTTTGGTGGCGCAGTTAATATTATGGATGAGTGTAGTAGCGCATTTTTCAAGTATAACAGATTGCCTATGCCTAATCATGGATCGAATTATAACTGTACGATGGATACGATAATGCAATCGTATAATAATAATAATCACCGTCATACATCCTATAACCAGCAATTCGCGTATTGTTAATTTATGTTAAATTTATTAAATGTCTAATGTACGCACGTATTGTTTTCATTAATTAATTTGCATACAAGCAATTTTAATTAATTGTTCAAACACTGATATTTCTTTTAAATATTAAAAACCTTGCTTTGAAAATGTATTTATAATTTTTTTAATTATAATTTTTATTAAGTTATTATATATCCATATAGTTATATTATTTTTATTTATTAAATACATATTTTATAAAATTAAATTTTAAGATTTATTTTAATATAATATTTGTATATAACTATTAAGAGTTTATTGTAATATCAAAAAAAAAAAACATTTAATATTAAATTATGCTGCAAAAATGTTTGCTGATTTTATTTGGCCCATAAAAATTGGCAATTATTTCTGTGGCCAATGGGCTATAATTTATATATTAAACATTTTTTTTAGATAAAGTATTTTGTATTTATGTAAGATCAACAGTTAATATTTTATTTTAAAAGAATGCAGTAATTATGTTCAAACGATTTGAAAACCTTGTTTGTATGTAATTAAATTGTAAATTGGTTTGTTATATGATTTTGTGAAGAAATTAATTTTTTATATTTTATAAAATGTTCGTCTTTCCATAAATTATATTTTATATAATACTATTTAGCAAAAGATATAATATTTTATAAAATTATACAAGTAAAATGTTTCTTTTAATGATCAAGCTTTAGTTAAGCAAATCATTTTTTTAATAAAAAAATGCTAATTTGTTTTTAATCGACAATATCATATTTACAAAACGAGAAATATAATTTTAACAGAGTGATGTATAAGAATTCATTAATTCAATTTTCAAATATTTTTAAATTTTATTTTTTTTTTAAATTTTTAAAATAATTAAATTTTTAGATGCATTAATCTCAAATTTGTTAAATTTTTTAATTTAATTTTTGATTTTTATATAAATTTTTTAAATTTATTGAATTTTAAATTATTAAATTTAAATTAAATTATTAAATTATTATTTAAATTATTAAATTTAAATTAAATTTTATTAAATGTTTAGATTTATTTATATCAAATTTATTAAATTTTTAAATTAATTTTATTTTAAAATTTTATGTTAAATTTTTAAATTTATTATAGTTTTTACATTTTTAAACTTATTAAATATTTAAATTTATTAATTTTTATATATTTATTAAATTTTTAAATATATTAATATCAAATTTATTAAATTTTTAAATTTATTTTATTTTCTAATGTTATATTAAATATTAAAATTTGATAAATTTTTTAATTTTTAAATTAAATAAATTTAAAATTTTTTAAATTTTTAAATTTTTAAAATTCATTAAATTTACTAAATTTATTATGTGTATTAAATTTTTAAATTTGTTAAATTTACTTAATTTTTATATATATTAAATTTACTAAATTTTTAAATTTTATACTAAATATTTACATTTTATATTTAGTTTTGAATTTATGAAATTAAATTTTAAAATCATTAATTTGAATTCTTCAATAATTAATTTAAATTTTTTATGTTAAGTTTTAATAATAGTTAATTTTATACAAAATTATATATAGAATTTAATTATTTTATATAGAACTAAGAGTTGATAAATTGTTAAGATTATGTTTAAGTTTGATTTAGGGCTTATTTTTCAATTGGTAATTTTAATTATATATATTATTTATGTATGTTACTTATGTAAAAATACATATTCACTGCAAGTTTTTTAGCTTATAGTTATTTTTCTATAATATATTGTTAATTATGTGATATTGTTAATATATATTATATTAAAATGAATTTTCAATAATCAATTCAATTTTTTATATTTTTCATTATTGTAATTACAACAATTGTCTATATTTAAAATAGTTGAAATTATAAAGGAAACTATGTTTCTTTGATATAATATAATCTCTCAAAAATGTAATGTTTTCAATCCGTCAACATATATATATTTTTGCAAAGTCCTTATGAATATTCAATGCATTTTTCTTTTAACAAGTGTATCTCAATATTTCGCGAAATAAAAGGTTATTATCACAGGTCATGTATAAAGTTTTATAAGGAAGGAACGTTCGGATTTTCCAAAAATTTTATGAATAGAAAATTAATAAGATAACAAACATAGTTCCTATATGTACAGTTTTAATATTGTTTATTGAAATGAATGCGGAATGAACTTAAGTGGAAAATATTTTCTATGTACCTTTTTGTTTGTTATCGAGGATATTTAGGTTTTTAGGTAGCTACTATACTCCATGTTACTATGAAACTACAGTTCTACTTTAAAATAAAATTGGGAAATACCCTATACAATATGAATGAGATTTTTAAATAGTTTATGTGATGTCTCAATTTTAAGAAGAGATGTGTGTCTCTATAAATATTAAAATACACTGTAAAAAGGCATGCAAATAAATTAATATGAATAAAGTAATGAAATACAATGTATGTAAAAATGAAACGTCGCTTTATATATATAAAAGTATATTATAACTTAAATAGATGAGAAAAAAATATTATACAATTAAAGAATGAAGTCATTAGGTCACTTATGAAATAAAAAAGCCCCTAAATTAATAAGCGGGAAAAACCAACAGCAGGGAATGAGAATATTAAATAGTTATTATTAAATAATTAATTAAATAAACTAAATAGTAATTAATTAACTGCAGTAGAAACAGATCTACGAAAGTTGAATGAAAGCTCTGACGCAAGCAAATCATAATAATGAATTCGAATATTACTGGGTTAAGGACATGCGTTAATTCGTATTCGAGCAGAATAATGTCACACCACAACTCTAAATAGGCTTTAGCTTATTAGGATTTGCCAAGAACGACCTCACTGGCTTAGCTAGACTTGAGCTAATAAGAATTTGAGAGAAGCAGTTTTATCCGAAGTTGTTATATTTACTGCCACTCTGACGAGTTGGAGATTAGTATTTTAACAATGTAATTCTTTCTAATTTTGTTGAAATCTGATATAACCACTGGATAATGAAAATTGTTTGAATATTTTAATATGTTAATGGTCTGTTAATGGTCTGGGCTTTCACTAAGCTTTTCGCTGGATTTAAATATCTTATGAATTCAGAATAACAAATAATGGAAACCCACAAGTCTAGATTAGTTAAGTTGTTGTGAAAAACAAACAAATTCATTTGACCCTGTAAGTAGGGCCGACGTACTTTGAAAGTGCCAAATTTTTATCGTTTAACGTTATCGTGTTTTTGTAATAATTGTGTAATTAATAATTTATATACAAAATATAAGATACTATTATTCAAAATAATAAAACATGGGTGTATTTTCTGTGTCCCTCTTTCGGTTTGCTAGTGCACACGATTTAGCTTATAGGATCTCGGAGGCCAATAGATTCTAAAGAGTATATTTTATGGTATATGGCACGTTAGAATGTGAAGGTAGAAAATAGTTTGTGTTATTAATTTTTTTGCTTCGTTTAAACTTTAAGACTGTCTCTTTCAGAGATATATTATATTGTATACACTTTCACATAGTGCCTTTTGTGCTTCATTACTTTTTTTATCTTCGTCAGCTGCTTAAATAGAAAAAGCTAAAAGAAACAGAAAACAGAAAAAGGCGGGAACTTAAGGCCTTGTCCTATAGTAAGAACACTTGTCTATTATAAGTTTATTTGTTTTTTGTTTTTAATTGTTTATTAAATTAATATTAATAATAATTATTATATTTGAATAAGTGGATTCTTCTGATACAACTATAATATATTGAAATTAAAATTGTACAATATTGGTCGGTTTAAAAAGCACGTCTGGTATTTTTTGTTAAGGATTGATTGGAATTTTAATAAAACTGCATATATAAAAAATTATCTACTAAAGCGTAAGTAAGTGTACTTATATTCAAATGTTTAATTTTTAGGCGTCATTGTTTAGGATTCAGATATACAAAACTATATACGGGCTATTAAAAATACCAAAAGATGCATAGTCTCGGTGAAATAGTATTCTGCACATATAATTGTAATCCTGATCATTATTCTATCTACTTTATGTAGTTCATATATTTTATTGTCCACCAAAGCGTTCCTTACTGCCACCATCTTATGTTAACTTCGCCACACTACCCTGATTTTTTCTTACAATTAGAGTGGTAACTCTAATAATGAATTGCTTATTATTTTTAATTTGTAATATATAACAAATATTATATAAAGAGAATATACCTTAGATATTAAATCTTTATCTGGTCCATTCAAACATCGAAAGGCCTAACTTCTTATAAAATTTAATTCGATACCATCTCAACTATATACATCAATCAATACAATAAATATTTTAAATACGAAATAATTTAATATAATGTTACATTAATTACAGACGTAAGTCAACCTAGGCCAGGTCCAAGCCAGCTACCCAAATTAGTGGCTTGTTTGCGCCAATTGGTATGAATAAAATATTACTCTCAGTACGTGTCGAATGATTCAATATGTAACCCCCTAAAAAGCTGTGTCTAAAACTAAAACTTTGTTTTCGAGAACACAGAGGAAAGTATTGGAGAGAGTATGATATCTTTAATAACATAATTTCTTCAATATGAAAATATGGCGACATTACTAATTAAAGTTTTGTATTGTCGGATGCTTATTCCACTTCAAATTCTTTATAAATTTTATTTGATATAAAACTAGTGCTTAGACTTTATCTTGAAAATAATGTATTTATATAAAAGCAATTCTATCAATAGAGAGCTGAAATTCGAAAAAACATGTACGACGGAAATGAAAATTAAAGGGCGGCGTTCACCAGTTTTCTAGGATAAGAAAACTCAGAGGTACTTTTTTGTATGCTCGCGGCAATCTGTCGTCAAAATATTTATAGTAATTTAGTAAAAAGACGTGATATAGTTTTTAACAGTTTCAAGTACCTTCTAATAGTTTTTAATTTGTTCGAAGGTCAACAGCTTATTGTCCTTTCTTCATCCAAATTTTATGCCTACGGTTGGAATAACACGGTCGCACATAATACGTACTAATATGTAGGTTTGTGCAAAAAAGGTCAGAAGCCCTTTCACTTTCCACCGTCTGGACATGAGCCTTTGCAGAGAGGTTGCGTTGGCGCGTATCCTGCGGTAACAGGTGCTAAAACTTTTGCAAAATTTATGGCGTAGAACAATAAACGGTCGCGGACAGTATTTTATACGCATTTCATATTTCAGTTTACCTGACTAGACGTTGCGATTTTCTGCCTTGTCTAGCCTCATAAGATCTAGTTTTGTTTTGTAATACGATACATCTGACGCGACTTGCTGGTTCCGTCTTGTTTCACATAGCCCGACAGTCCGTTTGACGGTTCGATACAATTTGATGGCTTAATTTTTTTACAGGAGCGAATTTACTTGAAGTGGTGGTGGAAGTGTAAAGGAGCTGATAATAACATAAAGCCGTTAATGAAATATGGGTACTCTGTACTTATTGTGATGCGGCCATGATGATATTTAAATATGTCCTTCTCCATTGTTTAGTTTGACTCGTCTAAGCTGCGCCTATTTTCCTTTATTATAACGGAACAAAGTACAGGAATCACTAAAAGGATTTATGAATTTCTTTTATGTGTTTGTTTGCTAACAAATACAGTCGCTGTTAAAAGACAGTGTTTTATGTCGGAGCAAGGACCAATATAAATACCTAGATTTCTGTTGGTGATTTCTTCATTTCAATTCTTCATTTCAAAATTAAAACATCTCTAAGCGAAACTGGAATAATTATTACAATAATTGGAATTAAAAGGAAAGAAATAAATATATAAAATATGCAATATTTATCACAACAACATTCGGATATGTCTAACAGATGTCGGGAAAATAACGTAAGTAAAAACTGAAAGAGTGATTGTGATTGTTGTTAATTTGAATATTCTTACAGATGATAGATTGCTTTAATCAACAATCATTCACAAGAGATTTTATTAACATGGATACTGGAGCACACTATAATACTCTACAGCAAGTACAAAAAGTTCAACAAATTGATGAGCTCAAGGAGAATGAAAATAAACCTAAAACTAAACGTTCCCGAACAGCATTCACCAGTAGACAAGTATTTGAATTAGAAAGAGAATTCAAATTAAATATGTATCTTTCTCGTACTCGCAGAATCGAAATTGCACGTCGACTTGACTTATGTGAACGTCAAATAAAAATTTGGTTTCAAAACCGACGCATGAAATATAAAAAGGATATACACGATGCTATCGAACAAAAAGCTACAGTGAAGACATTCCAACAAACGAGTGATCAAAATGCACATAGAGGCATTGTACAACGTTTAATGTCATACTCTCAAGATCCAAAAATTCAATTAAATTTTGATCAAATTGCTAATCAATCTATTACAATGAATACTACTCAACTTACTAAGTCACATAATGTTAAATCATCACTTCATACTAACTCCAACCAAGTAACAACAATGAATGCAAAGTCAGTGAAATCACAGAATTCTATTTTAGTTCTTGATCATACATTACCTGATCTTACGGAAATACTTGACCATCTCGACAAAAACTCCAATTTTCCACAATCCACACAATGCTCTTCAGCTTCAACAGATTCGAGCAATTTCAGTACAGTTTTAGAAAATATACGCCAGGATCTAGAAATGTCAGCTCAAACTTGGTCTAATAACAATTTCAGTGATGAATCTATGACGAAATCGGTTTTAATATCAAATAACTGTCGCCGTAGTCTTCCTGCTGCAACACCAGCACCAACCATGAATCTTTCATGGGGTGAACCTTCATCGAAAATGAGAAAACTACATCATGCACACGAAAACTCTTCCTCAATGTACTTAGCCTGATATCTCTATTAATATTAATTTCTATTATATTACTATTATACATTAAATAATCAATTAGTATTAATGTTGTAATATAAGTACATGTAATTAATTAATATTAATATTAGTTTTGGAGAATATACGCCAGAATTCAAAAATTTCAGCTCAAGCTTGGTCTATGACGACATCGGTTTTAATATTAAATAATTGTCGCCGTAGTCTTCCACCTGCAACACCGGCACTAAACATGCATCTTAAATGGGGTGAACCTTTACCTAAAATGGAAAACCTACATCATGTGCACACGAAAATCCTTCCTCAATGGATTTGGCTTGACATCTAATTAATTACTAATTACTATTGTGTATCCTGTAATTAATTATTATTAATCATATAATGTTATATGTTGTATAATAATAGTTACTAATAAAAATAATATATTTTGATGTGTGTAATTAATTAATATTAATGCTGTAATATTAATATAATAATATTAAATAATTAATTACATTTATTACATTTATTAATAATTGAAGTTTTCGTATTTACACAATTAAGAAAAAATTAAATTATTTTAAAATAAATTAAGTTAATTAAATTTTGTAATAATTAAAATTAAGGTTTAAGCCGGTGTCTAATAATAATAAAGTAATATAAATAAGCATTTCTCATATAAATCAATTTGTTTAATTTACAATTATGTATTAATATTAATAATTTTTAATAGTTTAAATTTGATAGTTTTTGATTTTTATTTGATTGCATAAAAAATACTTACAAGTATTATAATCATTATCATAATTTATTATTATTATTGGTTTAATTGCTCAAGTGATCTGTGATGCCCAACCCTGTCATTATAATTTACCCTAGCCGCCTATACCTGCTTTGTTTTGAGCGCATTTTCCATGTCTTACCTACTTTAGCAATTAATAAGAATTTATGATATCAAAGACCGATACCATAAATCGCTTTTAGAGTTTAATTGAGATTATTTTTTTAAATTATTATACTAAATAATTAATTATTAAATTTGTTTTTAACGTTAGTTATGACGATTATTATTGAGTAAGGGATCGTGCACTGCGACCTAAAAGATCTATTGTGCCTAGTTATGACGATAGTTTGAACGTACTTGAAAAGTCACGTACGGAATTGGGTCAATTGGCTAATGAACATTGAGTCTGAGTTTTAAATTTTGTAGAGAATGGGTTCAACCCTTGGTACTTGCAGTCTTTAAAAATTATTTACGGCTAATTTAGTATAAGAAATAATTTTAAGACTTCTGATGATGAGTATTTGGCAATATATGAAATAGCTGTATGGTCAGCAAAAAATTCGATTAATTAAAAATAAATAAAAAATTTTGTCGCTACAATTCACTTCTGTTCGAAACCTCTCTATAATTAATTATTTGAATTAATTTGAATGGTTGATTTTTATAGATTTGTTTTTGTCAAATCGTCTAAATATATCATAAGACTATGGGGAATGGTAATTGATGACAATCTCATTATATAGTTAATAAATTTTTTTTATGTATTATACATATGCTTTATATATAATATTTTAAGTTAATTAAATATTTTAAATATATATAATATAATTTATTTCAAATTATTTATAAATATTTAAAAATTCTTTAATTTCATAACACCGAGATTATGAGTAAGTGTAATAAAAATATCAATTATTAATGGGAAGCAATGTTTCATATAGAGAGGAAAAGATTTTAAACTTGTTTATATACTTCCAAAGTTAAAATAGAACCCTTATTTTTATTCTCAAAAAATTCTGAGATATAAAATATTGTCAGCACTTATTTTTGTAACTAAAGAAGAAAAACGATTAAATAATTTAGTATTTTTGAGAGTTAGGATTACTGAGAATAATAAAATAAGTGATCTTAAGACTTGAATTAAAAAATATCTTTATATCAAATTTCAGATGACATTAAATTATTTTTATTATTAATTAATGGAATAAATGCTGATAGATTAACTTCTAACTATACTCATACTATTTATCATTGAGTTGAAGATATAGTAATTTTTGTATATAAAAAAATAAAATTTTATATAAACTAATAAAAATTAAAAGAAAAAAAGAAAAGGAGTAAAACCTTTATAAATGGGATATGATGGGACCCATGTTTTATTAGCTTTTCTTTTAAATTTTAGATTTTATAATTAATGTTTTTATATTTCAGTGTACAAAACACAAAAGATTTTTAATTTTTTAGTAATAGATTAGTTTAGGTTAGGTTATACCGGCGATTCCACTTAGTTGATCCACTAGGCCTATTGTGTTATAAAAATAGTTTAATTTTATTAAATATAATATATAATAAATATGTTAAAACCGCATGATTTACATTTGTTTTTCGAATATAATTTTTATTTATAACGATAATATGAAAATTTCGTTTGATATTTCAATGATGTTGTGATAAATTCTCCACAGATTTTAAATTCACCAAACGCATAAATAATAATATCAAATGGTTTTTCTATTTGTTGAGAATAGGTTTAGAAATGCTCGATTTGCATGAACTTAAAACAATCACCCTCGTATGCCAGGCCGTTTCTACTCCGGAACTTAATCATAAATATTTTACTTCATTAGCCTGCGTCCAGGTCTCGCTTAGGTTTATTTGTTTACCTGAATATCAAAGATTTGAATAATATTGTTTGATTTTGTAGATGCTTACACTAAAAGTGAATTGCACTCTATTAATGCATAAACAGGAAGATGGCCATCAAACTAATGACCATCAAACTAAACTTCTATAAAATCACCTTGAATAACTCATTATTATATTTTAATGCATATGATGAAGAGTTAATGTAATGATGATAATGTGCAATCACCCAAATAATCATAGATACTTTTGAGTAAAAGTGCCTTATGGGCGTGTTATGATTGCAGTCACAGTCACGTCAATTTGATACAGACAGCTCATTTAATTTGCATTAAAAGCAACAACAATTGGTGACTGTGACTGCAATCATAACATGCACCTTTGAGACTTATTCGCGTTCAATCAAATAAAAAAGATTAATAAAATGTATATAATATATATATATAATATATATATATATATATATTTATGTATATTTAACTATTTCAACTATGTTCTTATATATCACTGATGTTCAATTAATATCTTACATATTAAGATCTTCTAAAAAATTTCGTTAGTATCTTATGAGTATCACCTTATCCCAATAATATATATAGTACACAAGTACTGTTTATCTAAGTTGATATAACCATTTTTAGTTACATGTTCAATTGTAAAAAAATACAATAGTATAACTTTTGATCTTGAGCCCATGTTCGAAGAAAAAATTTACCTAATATCCGTACTTGTTAAATAAAATTCAATATTGCGGAAATATGAAAACAATTACATTCATAAATTTAACGGAAATCCCGCGAAAAATTCAAATCCTTTTTAAATATAATTTTAGTTAAGTTTTATACCTATTTATAACCCTCGAGACTTATAAAATATTGTATCTTTTTTCATAATACATTTCCTATAAAATTTAATGCCAAATATATCTATTGTTGTAGGAGGATATTCCCACAGTTATTTATTTTATAGATCAGGTAGCTTCAGAGTGCATTTCAGCGGATTGTTACGCACTAAATCTGAAGAGGAAGCATAAGTGGATCATTTTTACTTTTCGAAGAAATTTTCACGAAGGACAAAGTATTTCGAACGAATTATTCAAAAAATATCTCTAATAATCTTTATTTGTAATTACCTTTTTAATGTGCCGTGAAGAAATTATAACTTTTATTCTTGGAAGTTATTTATTTATAATAATTACCAATGATGATATGTAACAGATGATTTACAGTAATGTCAATAATAGTTAAGATACCTATGATGAAATGTAAATATATATTATTATACATAAAAAATTATTAATTATTAATTTTTTCTAATTGTTAATTTGAAATTACTAATTATAATTATTATAATAGAACATGTGTAGTGACAGACGGAGTAGCTTTATAAAATTTCGGGAGTATTCGAATAAAATATATGCAATAATATAAATTACTATACAAATAAAGGTTATCATTTACTTCAAATTGTAAATCTGCTCTGCACTTACCCTTCACCCTTTCGCCTATTTTTCTTTGACCAAAATACTGTTAATAGGTTTTAATGAATTTAAGTATATCGATTATTAATTATGATTACGCTTATAGATCTGTAGGCTAATGAACACTAATTCTGAGCTTCAAATTTGGCAGTACAAGAGTTTAATCCCTGGTACTTACATTCTCAAAAAATTATTTAGGAATAATTAAATACAAGAAATATTTCAAAGACTACTGATAGTGGATATTTGGCAATACTCGGAGCAGCTATATCGGTCAGCCAAAACCTCAATTAATTAAAATAATATAAAAGAATTTTTGTTGTTGTAGTTCACTTCTTTTCAAAACCTCAAAACCTCATTAAACTATAATCGTTTAGTTGTCAATTTACCTAAAGTATGCTATGATTTTTATTTTGGATGGAGTAGTTTTAAATCAGCCTAATAATATACCACAGATATTAACATAACATAGATTAAATAACTATAAAAGAAATCTCAAGAAGATAAGGGACAGCAATATATAGAACATATAGAAGAGTGCTTTATTGACATTGATTTCACATCAGTAACAAATTAATAATAATAAGTAGCAGTTTTGGAGATTTAGGTGATGGAATAGAAATTTTAACAAAGAAGTGAATACAAATTGGACTAATAGTTTTACCACTTAATAAAACATACCCCCATATGAGCATATTACCATGCGAACTCTTTGCTTTGTGAAATACTCTCTCGGTCATGTTTAGAAGGTGGAACAATGCTAATAATCTGTATTTCCTTGACTACGTCCGATATGGATATTTCTATGCCTCGGTAATATCTAACAACTTTCATAAAATATTAGAAAAATTCATTTTTTATTTGTATTAACGCAAAAATTGAAAGTTATTTTGAATTAATTATATTAAATATTTATCAAAAAAAATTATTAAATTAAATTATTAGTTAAATTATTATATCAATTTCAAGAAGCTTGAATATTTGATGTGTTTGATTAAAATAGTTGAATTTTGGTATAATTGAAACGCTAATTACTAACTAAAAAAAATTTAATCTATATATCTATGGCTATATATTTATTTGATAAAACGTTTTATTCAAATCCTAAGTTGAATTAATCCTAAGTTGAGTTATGTATGAAATTTTATTATTTATTTTTATTATCAGTTATATAGGTGGGAGAAAAATCGGGGATTTATTTCTTTATCATTCGGAAATTTTTCATTTTTTGCGAAATGATGTCTTCACTTGAAATACTGAAGAAAAGAAATAATATTTATTATTTTTGATATATATTTCAAAACCAAATTCTGAATTATAAAACTAAAAGTCGCTGTAATAACCTTTTATTTAGACCTTGAAATATACTATTTTTATTTATTGTTATTTTCTTTGATAAAAAAAAATTCACATTAACCGGATATTAAAATTAGTATACCTTTTCAATGATATTTATTTTATATTCCTCAATATTCTAGGAATAATATTTATACTACATGTTTTTTTTTCTATATATATACAATTTTTGCTACAACTATGGTCATTCTAGAATAGATCATTTGGGTAAAATTTTGTATGAGCTCCTCTATTAAAAAACAAAAATCAGTACTTCGGGAAAAAATATATAAAATTATATATAATTTTAGCTACAACTATGCTCATTCTAGAATAGGTCATCTTCGATTTGGAAATGATTTTGTATGAGCTCCTCTATTAAAATAAAAAAATCAGTACTTCGGGAAAAGATATATAAAATTATATATAATTTTAGCTACAATTATGGACTTTCTAGAATAGGTCATCTTCGATTTGGAAAAGATTTTGTATGGGTTCCTCTATTAAAATAAAAAAATCAGTACTTCGGGAAAAGATATATAAAATTATATATAATTTTAGCTATAACTATGGTCATTTTAGAATAGGTCATCTTCGATTTGGAAAAGATTTTGTATGGGTTCCTCTATTAAAATAAAAAAATCAGTACTTCGGGAAAAGATATATAAAATTATATATAATTTTAGCTACAACTTTGGTCATTCTAGAATAGGTCATCTTCGATTTGGAAAAGATTTTGTATGAGCTCCTCTATTAAAATAAAAAAATCAGTACTTCGGGAAAAAATATATAAAATTATATATAATTTTAGCTACAACTATGCTCATTCTAGAATAGGTCATCTTCGATTTGGAAATGATTTTGTATGAGCTCCTCTATTAAAATAAAAAAATCAGTACTTCGGGAAAAGATATATAAAATTATATATAATTTTAGCTACAATTATGGACTTTCTAGAATAGGTCATCTTCGATTTGGAAAAGATTTTGTATGGGTTCCTCTATTAAAATAAAAAAATCAGTACTTCGGGAAAAGATATATAAAATTATATATAATTTTAGCTATAACTATGGTCATTTTAGAATAGGTCATCTTCGATTTGGAAAAGATTTTGTATGAGCTAATCTATTAAAATAAAAAAATCAGTACTTCGGGAAAAGATATATAAAATTATATATAATTTTAGCTATAACTATGGTCATTCTAGAATAGGTCATCTTCGATTTGGAAAAGATTTTGTATGGGCTCTTCTATTAAAATAAAAAAATCAGTACTTTGGGAAAAAATATATAAAATTATATATAATTTTAGCTACAACTATGGTCTTTCTAGAATAGGTCATCTTCGATTTGGAAAAGATTTTGTATGAGCTCCTCTATTAAAATAAAAATCAGTACTTCGGGAAAAAATTTTGTCCTAGGAGATACAGTCCTTGGGGTTGAGAAGAATTAATTTTGTATCCCAGGCTTAGTTAATGGTACAGATTTAAAATTAATAGATAATAAATTAAATAGTCTTGAATTGTTTTAACAGTTGAAATTGATTATTTATTATATTTATTATAGTCAGTAACAATAAAAATTTGTCATAAACATTTCAATAATTCAGATGTCTCATATTTTAATAATATTATAATAATATAATAATTTATTATGGATACATAGTTAAAAAAATTTTGATTTATACGTTTGCAGTATTTTAATTAACTGGAATAAGAAAAATAATGTGTTCATGTGATAAACCATAAATCTGTGAGAACAATTTTATAAAAGTTCTTCATCAATGAATGAAATGACAGTTAACATAGCAAAACGGGAACTGGAATTATTCGATTCATAAAAAGATTCAAAAATACTTATTTACTATTAATAATGTGTTCAAAATAGTTGGTTTAGAGTATCAAGACACTAAACTCTAATCAGGTGACCTCAATATTGCTGCAAGAATGCCTTGAAAAACTAAACTTGCTCAGTGAATCCAATTAGTTGTCGATAATCTGGGTACCAGGACAAAGGAGCAACCATAACACTGATGGGATTTGAACCTTTTTGTGAACTACGGCACAGTATCCTCCTCTCTCTTAAAAAATGAAGGAGAATCAGGACAATAAGGAATACTGCCATAACTTATCAGGACTACCACAATCCAAATCACCTATTGGTACCTATGACAATAGGAGATACCAGGATTGCATGGACTCCTACAAAAATATTCTTAAATTTGCAAAAGGTGATTTGAGATGATTTGATAACGGGTTGCATTACGGGTCATTATGGTCAAACCACGATTATCTGATAATTCGGAATGCAGATTATGCCTTGAAAATAAAGAAACTACCATGCGTATTTTTTGTGACTGTCTAGCTTTAATAACGCACGGAACTTATTTCATATGGAATTTCTGTCAACAGAACAATTTAATAGCTCTTCTCTAGATTTACTTCTGGACTTTGTTCACAAAGCCTTAAAGGGCTTTATGTAATCAATAGTGAAATTGGTACATTAGGACTCTTCTGGCCACAGTACCGGCTGTTGGGCGATTTCATATAAACAATTTTAATAATAATAATTTATAATAATAATTAGATATTGGTAAAATCTTTTAATACAGAAAAGATAAAAAAAATAAATAACCACTGCCATCATGATTTTAAATATATATATATCTATATATATTATAAACATAATAAATATAATAATTACTATTATTATTATATTATTCTTAATAATATATATTATAAATATTATTTATAATATAATACATTATTTTTATTTTTAATTTCAAATATTAATAAAATAAAAAAGTCAATTTATCAAAGTCAAAAGTCAATTAGTCGCTAAGTCAAATTATTTTTAACATTTAAATTTTATGACACGGCGTACGTGAGAATATATTTTCTAATCAGAGCATAAGTTATTTGAAAAATTGCACCCATAAAATCCTCAACAAGATGAAAATATGTTATATATAACCTTGAAACTAGAAGAAATGCTTTATAAATACTAAAAGAAACCTTTTTCCTGGCATTTTATTGGTTGTTAGTAACGAAGCCCCTTTTACTTATAGTCGAACAGGTAAATTCTGGAGACAAGTTTCGTGCGAAGTCGTGTATATTTAAAAAATTGAGGCGGTTCAAATAACATGAAGAAAGTTCTCCTTGAAGCGCATAAATACCTTCAAGCAAATTAATGAACAATTTAGTTGACAAAAATAGTCTAAGCTACATCATTGCAAATTGAAAGATTAAAGAGATGGTAACATATGTGCAAAATTCTTCACCCGTTATGCAAAATACAATGGAAAATATTTTATCTGAAGTAGGAGAATTTATGGTGAGTTATGGTCAAAAGACAAAACTAATTTATTTAAAAATTATAAAATATTTTAAATTACTATAATTTATTACTATCATTCAGTGATTACTCTTAAACTAAAATAAAATATATATTTCTTATTTCAGGTATTTCACGGCACACCAAATTTTCACGGCACACCTAATTTTCACAGCGTATGTGAGCCCACATCAGAGATTAATAATCCCAACTATTCGATTTCAACTGAAAAAGTTAAGAAAAAATCACCTAATAAAAATAAAAAAGGAAATGTTAAGCCAAAAAAGCAAACTCGTCCACGATCCACCTTAACAAAGCTACAAGCAATGGAGTTAGAAAAAGAATATCAAAAGAATATATATATAAGACGTCCTAAAAATTTTGAAATGGCTAAAAAGCTTAATATAACTGTTCCGCAAATTATGGTTTGGTTCCAGAATCGGCGCGTGAAAAGTAAATATGATGAGAAGAAAAGAATGAAAGAAAAGTTGAATAAAGAACTTGCCTCCATCAAGAAAGAAGCAGAAATTAATTCAGATGGATCTTCCGAAATTCAGTTGAAAGGTACAATTAGTACCGTAAGTTCAACTGAAGAAATAAAAAATAACGATTCAGATAATAGTATTATTCGACAGATTCTTCAATTCGGATATAATAGAACGAATGGCTACGATTATTACAATAGCCAGAAATATGACGAATCACAAAACATTAATCCTTCAAGTGCTGGATGTAGCATTAATAATAATTTGTCAACTATAACCCAGTCTCCAAACGAAATTCTCGAAATGCAAATCAGTGACAACACTATTGATGAAATATTAAATGGATTTCCAGATTTAAATTCCTTAACTGAAAATGTTGACATTGAAAGTCTTTTGAACATTGAAACTGAACCCGGATGCGATTATCCTTCAAATGCTGGATGTAGTACTAATAATACTTTGGCAACAAGAACCCAGTTTCCAAACAACGTTTCCGAAATGCAGCAAACCCACGAGAGCGTTATTGACAATAATTTATGTGAGATGGGATTGAGATATGGGAATTCTTCAACCGCTAATTATGGCGGTTATGGCACCAATAATCACAGTGACGAATTGCAAGAACGCAACAATTATTTTATTAATAACAATTTAAACGGGTTCCATGGATCAAACCCTTTAACTGCTGGAAATGGGACTAATAACCATTTAGGCGTTTGTGAGATGCAACAAAATCATTTGCATCATCCAAATACTGCATCGTATGGCAGTTATGCCACAAATCAGGTTCCCAGTTTTAACTTTTTACAATTCACAAATGCTTACAGATCAAATCATTCAATGAATTCAGAAGTTCCATATCCCACCGAATTATCTTCATTTCATAACAATATGGGCATTCTTCACTATTCTAATAATACATACGAGAAAAATGATACTATGGATGGTAATTCGGTCGAAGATCTGAATTACCATCTGAATCAATAGATGGTAATTCTATTGACCTTTTAAATGTTTTTGGAAGAAGAACTTCCAATGAAGTCGTAATTATTTGTTTCTTCAAATAAAATAGGATAGCATAAAATAGAAATAGGATAGCATAAAATAAGATTTTATAATTTATTTATTCTCAGTGGTTTGACATGATATTGTACCTACTTATTAATTATAAATTATAAAATTACAATATTATAATTATTATTTTTAAAAAAAATTATTATGGCATTGCATAAAAAAAAATTAGCAAAAAAACAAAAAAAAGAAATTATTATGGCATTGCATATTAATTAAAAAAAAAACAAAAAAAAATTATAAAAGATTATAAAAGATTTTGTAATTATTATTTAAAAAAATAATTGACATGGCAATAATTTAAAATAAATTTTAAATTATAATATTGTAGTAATTATTATTTAAAAAAGAAATTATTATGCATCTACTACTAATTAAAAAAAAACAAAAAAGAAATTATTATTAAATTATTATTGACTCATTAAATATATATTATTGACTCATAAAAAATATTTTAATTATTATTTGAAAAAATAATTGAAATGGCAATGCATCTAAGTATTACTTATAAATTTTATATTATAAAATTATAATATTGTAATTATTATTTAAAAGGAAAGAAATTATTATGGCAATGCATACTAAAAAAAAAATTATTATTAATTATAAAAAATATTGTAATTCTTATTTGAAAAAATAATTGACATGGCAATAAAATTATAATATTGTAATTATTATTTAAAAGGAAAGGAATTATTATGGCAATGCATACTAAAAAAAAAAATATTATTAATTATAAAAAATATTGTAATTCTTATTTGAAAAAATAATTGACATTATTATTATTAATTATAATATTGTAATTATTATTTAAAAAAGAAATTAATATGGCAATGCATCTACTATTAATTATAAAAAATATTATTCACAGAAAAACAAATTATTATTAATTATAAAAATTTAATTATTGTAATTATATATTATAATATTTAATTATTAATAATAAATTTTAAATTATAATATTATAATTATTATTTAAAAAGGGAAAGAAGTTATTATGGCATTGCAATTACAAAAAAAAAAAAAAAATTTTTATTGCCTCTACTTATTAATTATAAAAAATATTGTAATTATTATTTGAAAAAATAATTAACATGGCATTGTCTATTCTTAATTACATAAAATATTGTAATTATTATTTAAAAGAATTATTATATTATAAATATGTAATATTCTTATATTTTTTATAAAATAAACACTTGAGAATATAGAATAAACACTTAGCAATATTTAGTAAAACTAATAGAGGAATAGAGGAACTCAGAGTAATCAGAGTAATTTAGTAACGAACGTCCACAGATGTCCCGTAACTTAAAATGAGACTAAAATGAAATCGGAATATGGATTTCGAAAACGTTTTCTACTAAATGTTTTTCTTTCTTACCAAGAAACAGGGAAGTTGGTTGGTAAATGTCACTTACAAATAAAATGATACCTTAGTTACTTGTGGGAAAATACGATTAGTCATCGTTTATAATTTGACAGGCATGAATTCAAAGCCTGACACTTGCAGTCCTACAAATGATATATGGATTATAAACTAATTAAAAAAAGTTTGAATATTTCTTAAGAGCACTGAAGATCATTACTTGGCAAAACTTGAAACAGTCAAATTTCAATGAATAACTTAAAAATTTTATTGTTGTTTTTCTATTACTGTTCGAACCCTCCTAAACAAGAAAGAGCGTTACTGATATATCAGCTACATTGAATTCATTAATAATAAAGATTAAAATATATTTTTCAGTCATTTATTAGCTGTATTAGCTCTTGCTTTAAGAGTTAAGAGTTACATGACATAACGAATACTATAAACGATCTTGCATTTGATTGTTCAAAATAACAAAAATGTTTTCTCTAAATCAGCGTATCTCTACCAAGAAAGTACTTCGGACCAGAAAAATCGGCTACGTGTTTTACAAAGACCAGTGAGATATATATGAAATGATTTATAAGGACTTGTACCAATACTTTACCAAAATATAATACCATTAAAAAAGAAAATGGAATACCTACTGATAGCATCTCTGGTCCAAAATATATAATTACTTTATAAAATTCTTTTCAGTAAAAAATACTGCTTCACAGCCTTAACAAAAAACTTAGAAATAGAAAGCCTTAGATATAATAAAAATCTCATAGGGACTGGAAGGGTCTTTCGTTATACCAAGAGTCTACTGTATTTATTAGGGTTAAATAAAATTTAAAAATTTAGAGAAGTTAAATTGTTGTAATCAAATAATACGCTGGAAACATATATTAATGAATTATATACATTATATTAAATAATTAACTAAATAAAATAATAATATATTAATAATAAATTATTACGGTTTTATTGCAATGTAATAAATTTTATAGGAAAGTCTCTATAATATTAAAGAATACAAATTAGTTTTCAACACTAAATATTTTAGCCACAAACCAGTGGTTTGTGTATTTGCTATAATGAAAAAATTAGTGCCTAATGGTAAGTGAGAATGTAAAAAATATTTTATTTAAAAATATTAAAACAAAAATTTTATAAATTAGTTTGTATTATTTTATATAAAAAAATTTATTTTATTTATACACCTTACAATGCCATTAGTAGACTATGTTTATATTTTATATACAATAAGGTTTTAAATTATAGGTATTTACTTTACTCTTTTGAGTATCCAATCCTCAATCGGAAGATAAAGATTTGAGATTTCGTAGCCTACTTTAATCGTATGAATAATACACTACTTAATTAAATCATGAATAATATACAGTCCGCACTCCAAAATGAGAACATGTGGTTTACGTGAACTCGGGATTACTTGAACACTTTTCTTTACATATAAAAAGTAAACATCAATCAAAGGTCTTAAATGCAAAATATATTGTGGACCAAAAAAATAATTGATGAATTTTACAAGATGTGGTAAAATATTTAGAAATTATTTGCAAGGGCAGATTATTAGATTTAATTATAAACAATATCATTCCAAAAAATAATATCATTGAAGACGATAACTTGAACATATTGGGACTATCGGTCTATAAACAAGACTATAAACAATGTGAACAGATATACTCAGATATAGCAACAACCTAGCTTTATTTTTCATTATCGTATATAATCTGGCACTATTTTCCATAAATGTATTTTTTTTTTAATGTACATATACACATTTAATTTTAAAAGTTTATATACTTTTTTTAAAATACTGCTATGTAATCATACTTATTGCGTAAATCACATTTTTTCCAAAGGATTTGACACCTGTAGTTAACAGTTGTCTCCAGCTTTTCTTATTCACAGAATGTTCTTCCGGAATCAATGTTAAATTATCCAATACTTTTTAGCAGTGTAATACTACTTTTATAATATATGTATGTCTTAAGCTCCCAATTTAGTCAAGATTATTCTTAAAGCAATCAACTGTCAATTTACAAACTATTATTCATTTAAATGAACATAATATTCGTACAAATACTTATTTCATCTATTCATCTACAAAAGTCTACAAAAGTTTTCCACTGGCTTATATTTTGTGCTATTGCTCTCAACTCGTTAAACGATATGTCTGTTTCCTCCTGAACTGTCCTTCTCCAGGTCATTGCTGATCTGGTCTTATCATTTATATGATTTTGTTTTTTAGTAAGTAAGTTAAAATGTAGGTCCTAAGTTGCTGCACGTCTAATAAAGAGTGGTCTTCATAATTAAATATATATTTACGGATAATGGACATACCTTACTTTGTGACTGATAAGATTGTCTGGTAGAATACCGTAGCATAGTGCTTGAAACATTTAGAACAATCCATACAAGTACAAATTGCTGCAAACCGGTTACGGTTTACGTTATTCTTGGATAGACCTAATTGGTTATTGTAAAACTTATAATATAGTGAGCAAAATTTCTTTTGATGGCATTTAAAACCTTTGGAACACTCCATAGGAGTATAGATCATTACTAAATATTTGACGACCCTTAATAAGTTATTGACATAATTAAATTTATTAAATTCTGGGAATCTCAGACATATAGATACTGCTGACAACTGTAACGTGGATTAACTAGACAATACCTTAAGACAGTAATTGGAATATTTGAAGGTTCCTTTGTAAGTTCAGTTATGAGAAAGTTAAGATGTCACATTCGTGCTATCAATTCCACGTTGTAGAAGTTGTTATCAAGTTGTAGGGTTATCCATTTTGGGTCTTACTTTTTTAACAACTTCAAAAACTATCCAACTAAAGCCGTTTAAGCAAACTTTTACGCTTTAACAAAGCTAAACATTAAATACTTTATTCGATGTATCTGAACAATTCAAGTATAATACTACTTGTAGTTGCTTCAATTAATATTACTAAATAATTTATATTTAAAAATAAAAAATTATTGTAATGTAAAAAAATATTTATATTATAATTTTAATAATAATTTTGTTTTTTACGGTGTAATTGGTCAATAGTTAATAAATCTTTTAAAACTTATTACTTGTTTTTAAAAAATTTTATATTAACCAATATTTCGACTATAATCTATAGTCATCATCAGGATACTGTAGAATTTTAATACGATGTAAGAATATTTTAGTACATATCATAAAGAAAAAATTATAAAATACATTAACATCAAAACATGAATTATATACATGTATATAGAAAGCAATTAACATATACTATGACAATAGATATAAAAATAACATATATAGGAGAGATATATTTATCTTCTTCCGGATTTGTTGAAGGTGCTTTTATACACCTGAGCACAGTGTTGTATGTCAGTTTTATAGTTAAGTCTGGGGTCACTGGGAGTTTGAAGGATATATAGCATTTCCAAGAAAAAGCGTTTTTGTTGATTATTTTCTTAGTGTAAGACCTTTACATTATCAAGGTCCGGTTCATGCTTTGATGTAATACAGTGTGGTTTTATATATAGTTTTATATAATTTATATATTTATATGATTTATATATTTATATAATTTATATATTTATATAATTTATATAAAAATTAA